CCCTAAAAATGTCACACCTTACCCTACTTCACGGATTTCCGTCTCCGTCGGTAAGGGTGCCCAGTAGGGGCCTTTAAGAACGGAGCTAATCCTTAAAATACCTTTCATAAAAAGGCCTTACGTGACCGGCCTCAAGCAGTTGTCCCTTTGGCTTTGATGTCACACTTCCACGTCTCTAAGACCAACACTAATCTACCTTCTTTTTCAGGTTCCTCAAGAAACAACCTTCCACGTTGTGGGCAGCCGGGAAGTGACAACCGCTCTCATACCCGTAACAGCACACGAGATCAAATTGGTCAAAATCAAATGGCAACATCAACTTACTTACTTACGTACGTACGTACGTACGTACCAACATACATACATACGAACTTTTACGTTACAACTGACTAACTAATTGAAAGTTACAGTTTAAAAATATTATCAACAATAATAAACAATATCAGAAACGCTGAATCTTAAGTAAGAACTATACAAAACTAAGAAAATCAATCAATAGCAAATAGAATGAATGAATGAATGAATAATTGTACGAACATAATCTATTCTGAAAAAAAAACTGTCCACCTACACATATACTTGAACAATTAAATACAATTGAGTAGTATGAATCGAATAGAAAATCAACTACTCTGTTGGCTACTATATGACATGTTAGGAATATTACAAATTCTTTAATTTTGTCAAATGTGAGTGAATCTATTAAGAATGACCAGATGAATGAATTGATGAACAAGACAAGTTCAACTATTTATTGCACCACTACTATCTATAGTCGAAATCAAGTATTATTGACATGGCGATGAAAAAACATCAATGTGAAAATGTTGATTATTATTAGTAGGACATAGATGGTTTAGGGGCATGATTACGTTAGCAGCTGCATACATTGACTGGTTAATTCTAATCCAATCAGCGCTAGTCGATACTATGGAGAATATTCTAGAAGCTTATCATGTAAGCAAACTCTATGAAGAAACTAACGTTTTCCCAGTTTCGCCTTCCTTGTAGATTCGTATTTCCCTTTTAACCTTACTACCTTGTCCTCGTTTGAATTTTCAGGAGTGCAGACCGTTTAACAGGAGGCTCGCTTATTGACTTAGAATATGCCGATGATATTGTCCTACTTGGTGAAGACGCTGACAAAATGTAGAGTCTTCTGACTACCCTAAGCAACAATGCAAGCAAGCATGTTCGGGATGCGGTTCTCACCCTCGAAATGCAAAATGTTGCTTCAAGACTGGGTTTCATCGGCACCTGAACTAGTGATAGGGAGTGAAGTAGTCGAACGTCTAGACCGTTTCACTTATCTGGGGAGTCTCATCAGTGCTGATAGCCTGGTGACTGACGAAATCTCAGCTCGGATACAGAAGGCTTGAATGGCTTTTGCCAACCTGCGTCACTTATGACGTAGGCGAGATATCCGCTTGTTAACCAAAGGACGAGTGTACAGTGCAGCAGTTCGCTCCGTCCTACTGTACGGATGCGAAACATGGCCGTTAAGAGTAGAGGACTTTCGTAGGTTACTAGTCTTCGATCATCGATATCTCCGAAACATTGCTCGTGTATCCTGGGACGACCGAGTAAGCAATGCTATCGTTCGGAAACGAGTTCTAGGTAGGGATGGCAAATCAATAGATGAAGCATTTAGACTTCATCATTTGAAGTGGATGGGACATGTGTTACTTATGGCTAACCACCGACTGCCGTGACGAGCTATGTTTTGCAGTGTAGGAGCAGGTTGGAAGAAAGTTAGGGGCGGTCAAACCAAAACATGGCACAAATACATGAAGTCACTGACAATTGGACTGAGTCATGACTGAATTATACTTTACGATTCATATCTTCGCTCCCTAATCTTCTCCATTGCTGCTAATACTTCTGTTATCACTATCACTCTTAGATTTGAACTGACAGTTACATCTCTGTGCTGACGTGGTATGTCAACCTGAACTGATGTAATTATGTACGAAGTTCTGCATTGTATCTCTCTCTCTCTCTATTTAACCTTACTATTTGGAATATAATCTCTTACCTATTCAACCGTGTTCTGATTTTGGGACTTGTCAATGGGATCCGGTGTCTGAGAAATACTAAGCAATAGGAATTAGTTGGGTTTTACCAAGAGAGAGAGAGAGAACTATCACACTTATCCAACAAAAATGACAACTGCTATAACAAAAACAAACATGTGATCATCTCATAATTCTCGCATCATTTTTTTCTTTTTAGAAAAATAAGCTATCACTTACTATAGAATATGATGCAGATTTATTTGGACAATTTTGATGCTTTGGTATACAACAAGACGACGGAACAGTTAAACCTGGATAGTCATCCACTCCATTTATACCACAACAATGAAGCTGTAGAATGAAACAGAGAGAAACAACGTCCATAAAAGTAACAAAAAAAATGAATTGAACTTTTATAATCACGTCTATCTATAGGGGATTGGTTATTTAGTAGTGACCAATTTTTTATAGATTTGTCCAAATACTTTTTAACATTTCTATCAAGTTAAAATGTAGTGATTAGTTTCAGTCAGTTAGTCAGTCAGTCAGATGCAACGTAGAACTTCGTACGTAAGTACATCAGTTCATGTTGCCAGACCACATCAGCACAGAGAAGTAATTGTCGATTCAAATCCAATAGTAGAAGAGGTAGTAAGGGAATTAGAAGTAATCGGAGAGGTTAGGATTAGAAGATATTATTCAAGAGGTATGATTCAGTGAGAAAAGTTTAGAGAGTCGAAACTAGAGTTGTTGAAGAACCCAGAAGATTAGGATTTGAGAGAACACAAAGAATAAATGCACCGGCGCCATTGCGAACGATTTTGAGTCATGTCATTCAAGGTCTCTAACCATCGAGTATTGTCATCTCGCGGACTATTTTAAGATGATTCCAAATAGTCAACAGTAAACGCAATTCTGTGTCAATTAGCAATCATCAATAACATGTGCCTGTAACCAATCCATCAGGAGAATAATACTTCCAGTGGAATACGAACCTGTATCATCTAGTCTCAGTTTGAAACTATGTGAACTATGACTAACTTGCTGTAGAAATAAGAATGTGTTCCTTTAGTTATTTTGTATTAATACTAATCGAATTCTAGTGATCCATAGTTGATTTGAATGAAAAACTGGTTAAACATCATTCTCAATGTTCAATATTGGTTTTCATGGAAAACATGCAAGTTTAATCGATTCTATAATTAATTACACGTCAATTATCTATTTTAACATGTAGTACTTGGATTTAATAATTTTACGAATTAGATTTTTAGAGACACAAATGTGGTAGAGATAGTAGAAGTATTATTGGTAATGTAGAAGATTATGATTCAAGCGAAGATATGATTCAAGAAGTATGATCCAGTGCGATAATTTTAAGAAGAGAAGGATAGAAGTGATGAGGAGCTCAGCAGGTTAGAACTTGACAGAAGACATAGAGTGGGTGCATCTGCGCCATTGCAAACGGTTTTGAGCAATGTCGTTTAAGGTCTCTAACCATTGATTACTATCGTTTCGCAGACCTCAACCAGGTAGTTTACAACTACCAACATACTCAGTCCACTTGTCAGTGACTTCATGGATTTCTACCATGTTTTGGTTTGACCGCTCCTAGGTTTCTTCTAAACTACTTCCAACACCGTAAAACATAGCTCGACGAGGCAGTTGGTGGTTGGGCATACGTAATACATGTCTCACTCACCTTAACTGATGAAGTTTCACCACTTCACCAATTGATCTTCCACCCTTACCTAGTGCTCGATTCCTAACTATAGCATCGCCTACGCGGTTGATCCAGAATATACAAGCAATGATTCCAAGACATCTATAATAGAATACTAATGACCTATGAATGTCCTCTACTCTTACCGTCCATGTTTCGCATGCAGATAGTAGGACGGAACGAACTGCTGCACAGTAAACCCATTCTTTGGTTAGCAAACGGATATCTCGCATACGCCATAAGTGACGCAAGTTGGCAAAAACCAATCGAGTCTTCTGTATCCGTGCTGAGATTTTGTCAGTCACCAGGACATCAGCATTGATTACAATCCCGACAAAAGTAAAGGTGTCGACACGCCCAACTACTTCAGTTGTTAATGGTTAACTGTGAGTAATACAATATTGGTTTCCTCTTGTTGATTGCGTATAAAATGTGTTTACCGATTTACATATATCTGAGTCGAGATTCGGCAAAAATATTTAGAACATCAGCAGCACGATATGTGCTAACTTACAGTAGGTTATGACAAAATTGGGTTAGTATATTTGTTTCTGATGCTTTACAATTAAGATTTAAGAACTCCATATAATTTATGTTTTTACTTATCGTATCTGAGCGTTAGTTGTGTGCTTTTACTCTTTCACTCCTATATGAGAGAACTAAACTACTATGGTCTCCTTGTATGATAATATTTCAACCTAATCACTAAACAGTTATGTGGCAGTAGTCATAACAGGATGCCTAAAATGTCTGAAAAATATAAGCCTGATCTAGTTCAACTTTAATCTTTCATTATGAATTGGATTGACAATTCTGCGTAGCTATCATTCATCTAATGTCGTTCGTATTTAAGTGATTCAGGTTAGATATGGACACTGTTGAATGCGGGTCACTGGTCAAGACGTTAAGCGTTCGCACGCGAGACCGAAGGTCCTGGGTTCGATTCCGACTCTTGAGGGCATGGATGCGAAGTGTTGATGAGTCGCATTCTAGGACGAAATGGCTATAAAGTCCGTTCAGGTTTCCAATGGTAGCCTAGCACTGATCAGTTCAACTCAACAGTGGTATCGGAGTTTTGTAATTAAATAACTCAATTTTCGACCAGTGAGTTATAGGCTCAAAGCTCGCACCATCCGGTTCGCCTTGCATAGGCAAGAAGTATCATCAGACACCAGATAGACAATTCATTCAGTCAGTCGGCAACAACGTAGAACTTAGTACATACGGATGGACATCAGTTCAAGTTGCCGTACCACATTAGCACAGAGACGCAATAGGCAATCGAAATCCCTTAGTAGTAGAGGTAGTATAATTATTAGCAGTAATGGAGAAGATTGGGGTTCGAAGAAATCATTCAAGATATATAATCCAGTGGAATGAAATTAAAAAGATATAGGAAAAGTTCATGAGCTCATTTGAGACAGACCGACAGACAGACAGATACAACGCAGAACTCCGTACATAATTACATCAGTTCACGTTGCCATACCACGTCGACACAGAGATGTAACTGTCAGTTCAAATCCAAGAGTGATAGCAATAATAGAAGTATTAGCAGTGATGGAGAAGATTAGGGAGCGAAGATATGATTCGAAAAGTATAATCCAGTAAGATAAATTTAGAAGGAGAAAGGTAGAGATTATGAGGAATGCAGAAGCTTAGAATTTCATAGAACAAAAAGAGTGGATGCACCCGCGTCATTGCAAACGATTCTGAGCCATGACGTTCAAGGTCTCTAAAAATTGGTGACTTTCGTCTAGCGGACCACAACCAGATAGCCTATATCTTCCAACATGACTCAGTCCACTTGTCAGTGACTTCATGTATTTGTGCCATGTTTTGGTTTGGCCGCCCCTAGCTTTCTTCAAACCTACTCCTACACTGCAAAACATAGCTCGTCGCGGCAGTCGGTGGTTGGCCATACGTAACACATGATCGAATACTAGCAACCTATGAACAACTACTCTTAACGGCCATGTTTCGCATCCGTACAGTAGGACAGAGCGAACTTCTGCGCAGTACACTCGTCCTTTGGTTAACAAGCGGATATCTCGCCTACGTCATAAGTGATGCAAGTTGGCAAAAGCCATTCAAGCCTTCTGTATCCGTGCTGAGATTTCGTCAGTCACCAGACAGTCAGCACTGATGAGACTCCCCGGGTAAGTGAAGCGGTCTACAGGTTCGACTGCTTCACTCCCTATCACTAGTTCAGGTACCGATGAAATCCAAACTTGAAGCAAAATTAAGCACTTCGAGGGTGAGAACCGCATCCCGAACATGCTTGGATTGTTGCTTAGGGTGGTCAGAAGACTCTGCATTTTGTCAGCGTCTTCACCAAGTAGGACTATGTCATCGGCATATTCTAGGTCAGTAAGCGATTTTCCTGGTAGGTCAACCCATGAAAAATCTGACGAGCTTAACGTTAAATCTAAGAGGATGTCTACGACAAAGTTAAACAAGAATGGAGAAAGTGGACATCCCTGACGGACACCACTCGATGTAGAGAATTCAGATGACAGTTCGCCATAAGCTCTCACTCGATCAGTGGTGTTCGAGTAGAGTGCTTGTATAAGGTTATTGTATTTCTTTGGTACACCTTTCAATGACAGACACTGCCACAGAACCTCACGATCCACTGAGTCAAATGCCGCCTAAATTCCAGGAAGACAATTATTGTAGGACGCCTAAATGTGTGTCTGTGTTCCAGGACCTGTCGTAGTATGAAGATGTGGTCTATACAGCCACGTCCAGGTCGGAAACCAGTCTGGTTTTCTCGAGTTTGCTCTTCACGAGCTATCGTCAAGCGCTGAAGTATTATTGAGGCTAACAGTTTATAGAGGCTAACAGTTTAGAAACTATATTAGTTAGAATTATTCCCCTGTGATTGTCACAAGAAGACTTTTGTCCTTTCTTGTAGATTGGGACAATTAGCGACTGAGAAAAGTCAGATCGTATTACGTCCAGTTCCCAGATTCTACCTAAGATCTCAGTCAACCTAGCTGCTGAACCTGGACCACCATCCTTAAATATATCAGGGGTCAGTCTATCAGGACCTGCAGCTCGCCCTCGCTTCAGATTTCCTAACGCTTTCTCAACGTCATTAAGACTAGAGGGACTTAGGTCGATTTGCCATTCAGGATGACTGGAGATCGTGGGTAACCGAAGAGTGGCTCGTGGCCAGTTGAACTGGTCCCTAAAGTGTTCTGTCCATCGGTCCAATCTCCTGGATTGAGAATAAATGTTACAGCCATCCTTTCCTGAGATAGTCTCACTCACATTTGGTTTCCTGATACCGGTTTCTTTGATAAAGCGGAAAAGTTGTCTAGTGTTGCCTATCGCAGCCGCCTTTTCCATCGCTTTTGCTTTCACCACCCACCACTGTTCACAGTCGTTACGTAGGCTTTTTATAAGTCTGCGCCTAAGCTGACTACGCTCTTCATCATGCTCAGAGTCAGGTGGGATGCGTTTTCGAGCATCCATCAGTTCGGTAGATGCGACTGATATCCATGGCTTCATCCTAGCCTTATGGTTTACCTTGCCAGCAGATATCACTGCTGTTTCCACAGCCTTTTTGATATCATTCCAACCTACTCCTGGATGGGAATCGCTTACACGATTGCCTAATTCTGTTTCTTGTTGTTCCTGAAATATATTCTTCGCCCTAATATCTTTATGTAAAACCGCAAGTGGCTTTTCTACGGTGTCTTTTCAACGTCCAGTAAGCTTCAAACAAATACGCGCTCGCACTAGGGCATGATCTGAATCTAGACATGTGCTCCAGAACGAGCGACAGTTCTCTATCGAACCCCTCCATCGCTAGCTGATGGCGATGTGATCTAGTTGGGTTCAACGTTGAGACGACTTTGGTGGTCGCCAGTTCAAGAGATGCTTTTCCTTATGCCTAAAGTTAGTGTTTGCTAAGAATAGGCGGTTATCTGAGCATAGTTGCAACAGACGGTCGCCATTGTCTGTTCTGTCATTCGCTACACCATAACATCCACCAAGATGTCTTTCATTTTCACTCAGTCTACCTACTTGAGCATTGAAGTCACCAGCCATTATAACTATATCAGAGCGCTTAACTTTTTGGAGGAGGTTCGAAAGCTTTCTGTAAAACTCATCTTTTACATCGTCTTGACTGCAGTCAGTGGGGGCGTAAGCTGGTATGACGAACAGGCAACGACGAATGTCCCTATCCTTTCGAATCCTTACTGTCCCGTTTAGTCGGACGGCGCACAAACGATTGACTACAGGGATCCAGTCTAGGAGAGCTAGCTCTGCCCTATGACTCAATGCAATATCTACACCAGCGAGACTCCTGGAAGAAGCATCAGGGCTACCGGATACACGAAGGGTAAATCGAGTTGCTTCTTTATCTTGACATGGTGATGTCAAGTGAATGATGCTACTCGTATCCTGTATGCGCGTTTCCAAGACGCAGCACACATCGATGGCGCGAGATTCTGAAGTCCTAGCTAATGAAGCCTGTTGCCATATTCGACATAATATACGTACATTAAATGCTCCAACATGTTGTCTAGAGCGGGGTTTCAGGAGACCAGGAATGACGTTTCGTGAACTCGCATCGTTTGCATTAGATGTGCACTGCGATAGAGGAGTGTGAAAAGAGTTAGTCGTTGAGAGAAGAGAGGTATGTGTGGGTGTAGGAAGGATTTGATTTTGACCAATTTGGTCTCTCGTGCTGTTACGGGTATGAGAGCGGTTGTCACTTCCCGGCTGCCCACACCGTGGAAGGTTGTTTCTTGAGGAACCTGAAAAAGAAGGTAGATTAGTGTTGGTCTTAGAGGCCTGGAAGTGTGACCGCAGAGCCCAAGGGACAACTGCTTGAGGCCGGTCACGCACGGCCTGTTTATGAAAGGTTTTTAGAGTATTAGCTTCGCTCATAACAGTCCTTAGTGGGCACCCTTACCACCGGAGATTGAGATCCGTGATGTAGGGTGAGGTGTGACATTTTTAGGGTCGACCTTTTCTACCCCTTCCTTCCTTGTGAGAAGGCAGCATCACTGCAGATGCTGGTCGTCCGAGGGAAACACCTTACTGCTGTCACACCCCTCTACAGTCAGCAGTACGACTTCGCCCTCAGACTTCGAGTAGCTGCTTTTAGTCTGATCGTTCTCCAATCGACCTGCCTGGCATGGTGGAACCTTCAGGAACATATGTCCTAGCCAGCATAGCTCGGCTGGCTCATCACGATAGGCAAGACCGACCACCACGTCAGGGTAGCAGCTACGGTCGGGGAGCTCATTTCAACGAATAGATTTTTGTTTTGTTTGGCATTTCTGTTTTTTTTATCGTAAAATTTCAAAAAGTTGACCTCCTGACAAATTGATATGCATCGAATTAATTCCATGAGATTATTGACAAGGTAACATTTTATAAGCTAAATCTAAGTGATCATATCTACCGAAAAAGAATATTATATCATCATTTTCTATGCAGCAAGTTTGCTCCGTCATACTACATGGATGCAAAACATGGCCAGTCATAGTAGAAGATATTCGTAGATTACTGGTTTTCGATCATATGTGTCTCAGAAGCATCGCTCGTACATCCTGGGACAACCTGGTAAGCAATGCTGTCGTTAGGAAACGAGTGAGAATGGCAGATCAATAGATGAAGTAGTGAAACTTCATTAGTTGAAGGTGGTTTGGGACATGTGTTACGAATGCTCAATCACCGACTGCCTCGACGAGCTATGTTTTGCGATGTAGGAATAGGTTAGAAGAAATCTAAAGGCGGTCAAACCAAAACATGGCATAAATCCATGAAGTCAATAACAACTGGAATGAGCTCATGTTGGTAGATGTAGACAACCTTGGTTGGGAGGACCCACGAGACGATAGTAATCGATGGTTACAGATCCTGAATGACATGGCTCAAAACCGTTTGCAGTGAAGCATATGCATCCATTCGCTTTGTTCTCTCAAATCCTAATCTTCTGAATTCAGCATCACCTTTATGTTTGTCTTTTTAACTGTATTATTTTTCTAGATTCTACTTCTTGAATAATATCTCCGAACTCTAATCTCTCCGATTACTGCTAATACTTTTACTACGTCTACTACTATGTACGTACGTACGTACGAAGTTCTACGCGTTGTAACTGACTGATTGATTTTCTATGCATCAAAAATCACAAATAACATCAAAAATGTAGAATAAATTAGTTGTTTTTTTTTGTAAAAATTAAAAAACTTTCATCAATAAATAATAATAATTAATAATAATAGTGAATAAAAAAAATTTTTAAAAACCTACACTTCTTTGTATCCAATCACGATAAGAATCATTTTTTTCCATAGAATTCTCATCAATGGTATCATTTTTAAATTGCATAATAATATTTTCTAAAGCTTGAATAATTCGTTTTTCTGTCTAAATAGACATTGATAGAGAGAGAGAGAGAGGTTAACTCGTTAGTTAATTCCACTTACTTCAACTTTAAATACTAAACATAATGCTGCTGTGGCTAATTCCACACCGAACATAATTGTTAAACAAATAGAATAAGTTCCAAGTAAACAACACGATTCATGATATGCACCACAACAGCCAAAAATCGATACAACAATGGTCAATAAGCCTAGACCAATAAGAGCATAGAATAAATTTTGCATTTTATCCGCATGTCCAGAACGTGATACAGCGTTTTGAATTAATGAATCCACATAACAATAGATAGCAAAACATAAGATTGCTGCACCAATTAACTATAATGAATAATAATAATACATAAAGGAGAGAGAAAAGAATTCATCTTTAATACAAGAAAATTGCCAAAAAAAAAGACAACTTGTTTGATAATTAATTTTTGATAAGAATAATAGATGAAATGCTGAAACTTTATCATTTGAGGTGGTTGAGACATGTGTGTTGTTACGTATGCCTAATAACCACCGACTGCCTCGACGAGCGCTTTGTTTTGTAGTGTAAGAGTGAGTAGGTTGGAAGAAAGTTAGGGGTGGCCAAGCCAAAGCATGGCAGAAATCCACGAAGTCATTGACAAGTGGGCTGAGTCATGTCGGTAATTGTCGACTACCTGGTTGGGGTCCGCGAGACGAAAGTCACCGATGGTTAAAGACCGTGTACAACATGGCTCAAAATCATTTGCAATGGCGCAAACGTATTCATTCTATGTGTCCTTTCAAATCCTAATCTTCTGGATTCTTCAACACCTCTAGTTTTGACTTTCTACACTTTTCTCACTAAATCATACTTCTTGAATAATATCTTGTAATCCTAACCTCTCCGATTACTTCTAATACCTTTACTACCTCTTTTACTATTGGATTTGAATTGACAATTATATCTCTGTACTGATGTGGTATGGCAACATGAAATGATGTACTTACGTACGAAGTTCTACGTTGCATCGGACTGACTGACGGAGATAAATTAAACACAGGCTTAAACGATAGAATGATTGAAGAAATAGCCTTAAGCTTTATAATAATTTATTGATTATGACTCTTAAAAACCAACACATAAAAGCATTAATAACAAGAATTGTACAGCTTAGACAAAAATACTAAGATTTTTTCAAGTGAAACAGAGGGTTGTGTCATTAACTTCTAATTCTTACAATAAGGGGTTCCATCTTAGACAACTAACGACATGGAACAAATGTATACCGGTTCAAGTGATCACTTTGTATTACGAAACCGATCACTGATTGTCTAAGTCTACAAGAAAGGATAGAATTCCTCTTGTGAGTCACAGAGGAATCAATTTAACCATAGTATAGTATCTAAAATATTGGCCTCAATAATATTCAGACGCTTAAATAGAGCTCCTGAAGAGCTGACTAGAGAAAACCGGGCTGGTTTTCGACCTGGACGTGGATGTATAGAACAGACATTCACACTAAGTCAGGTCCTAGAACAAAGATATACGTTTAGACACCCCACAGTAGTAGTATTTTTCGACGTTAAGGAAGCATTTGACTCTGTCGATCATTAGGCTTTGTGGCAGTGTCCGTCATTAAAAGATGTACGAAAGAATTGCATTACCTTATAAAAGCTCTCTACTCGAACACTACCGGTCAAGTAAGGGAGCGAAATGTTATCAGAATTCTTTAATTTTTGTGGTTTCGGTCAGGGCTGTCCACTCACTCCACTCTTGTTAAACTTTGTCGTAGACATGCTTTTAGAGTTAACATTATCATCGCCTGATTTTTAAGGGGCGGACCTTTTACCACGAGACACGTTTGCTGACTTAGAGTACGCCGATGACATAGTTCTATTCGGTGAAGACGCTGACAAAATGCAGTCTTTTGACTACCCTAAGAAACAATACAAGCATGTTCGGGATGCGGTTATCACCCTCGAAATGCAAAATGTTGCTTCAAGATTGGGTTGCATCGGTACCTGAACTAGTGATAGGGAGTGATGTAGTCGAACGTGTAGACCGCTTCACTTATCTGGGGAGTCTCATCAGTGCTGATGGCCTGATGACTGACGAAACTACAGCACGGATACAGAAGGCTCGATCGGTTTTTACCAACTTGCGTCACTTACGGCGCAGGCGAGATATTCGTTTGCTAACCAAAGGACGAGTCTATTGAGCAGCAGTTCGCTTCGTCTTACAATATGCATGCGAAACATGGACGGTAAAAATTGAGGATATATGTAGGTTATTGGTATTTGATTATAGTTTTCTTTGAAGCATTGCTTATGTATCCTGGGACAACCGAGTAAGCAATGCTGTCGTTAGGAAACGGGTGCTAGGTAAGGATGGCAGACAATAGATGAAGTATTGAGACTATTCCAGTTGAGATAGCTGGGACATTTGTTACGAATGCCCAACCACCGACTGCCTCGACGAGCTGTGTTTTGCTGTGTCAGTGTAGGTTAGAAGAAACATACGGACGGTCAAACCAAAACATGGCACAAATAAATGAAGTCACTGACAAGTGGACTGAGAATGTTGGTAGGCTGCCTGGTTTGTGTTCACGGGACGAAAGGAACTGGTAGTTGCACACCTTGAACGACATTGCTCAGAATCATTTGCAATGGCATGGATGCATCCACTCTACGTCTTCTCTCAAATTCTAGCTTGCCGAATTCCCCATCACCTCAATATTCCTTTTTCTAAATTTATTTCACTAAATCATACTTCTTGAATAATATCTTTGAACCCTAATCATCGCCATTACTGGTTATCCTTCTACTATCTTTACTCCTATGGGTTGCGTCTCTGTGCTACTGCGGTCTGGCAACCTTGAACTAAATGGCTCAAAATCGTTTGCGATGGCGCAGGTGCACCCATTCTTTGAGCTCTCTCAAATCCTAATCTTCTGGATTCGTCAGCACCTCTACCTTTGTCTCTCTAACCTTATCTCACTGAATTATACTTCTTGAATAATATCTTCAAACCCTAGTCTTCTTCATTACCATTAATACCTCTACTATCTCAATCATAATGGGATTTGATTTGACATCTGCATTTTTGTGCTAATGTGGTATGGCAACATGAACTTATGTACATACGTACGAAGTTCTACGTTGCAACTGACTGACTGACTGAATCTGAAAAGTACTTTTTTGTGAGAAAAGTTTATGTAAGTTTTCTAATCTAATTTTCTATAGTTTAAACAGTAGCTAGTTGAAATAGTATATGATTTAGTTAGTCAGTATAAACGGAATTTTCCCTACTTAATTTCTATACTTTTCCTAAAGAAATTAGTCGTAATATATAACACTGGTCGAAGTTATACGCGTCATTTTAGATGCCGGCCTACACCATCGGAGTTACAAATAGCGCAAATACACACTTTAATTGAAGTGAAATAGGTGTAAAACTTCAATTTACGACCATTTGTTGATTATTTAAACAAATTTTTTGTTTGAAAAGACATTTAGATAGTTATGCACCACAAAAATCGACTAATTTGCATGTGGGTTGGTTTATTGTCTGGTTGCCCAAACCAAGGGAATTAGTTTTGTTCAGAAGCTTACTTTCTGAGACTTTCACCGACAGGTCTAAACCACACGTCAGTGTGGAGTGACGTCAGGAGATGCAGTCTCATGGTAGCTGTTGATTAACAACAGGTCTCATCGCCATTTGTCCCCTCAACGTCGTGAAGCCTATGCGCGCTTCTGGCTTGGAATCAGGGCTCTACAACACCCTAAATGGATCCTTCGTATCCAACGACCCAGTTTAAGCCTAAGCCAGACATTCGCTTTTAGTTTTTTCGATTTCGTAAACAACACCACAGCGGTGAGAATGCAGAGTAGAACTTAGCTGACGGTGGTTATACACGTGTGGTCGTATGAAAGCATTTGGAGTAATGGCGGACTCTTCCCACTCTCGTCCATACTAGGGCATTTTGGGGCAATTTCAGAAACTTTACAGTTTAATACAACGAACGAAGTATTATGGGACAGTTTCTAAGCCCACATACGCTGAGCGTGCAAATTATAAATATGATAATAAGTTTCTCTTCATTATGCTAGAAACAGATTGACGCAGTTAGCCACAATAGATACAGGCATACATTTACTAACAAAATCTTCAGATTTATTTACTTAAATTTTTATGACGATGACTTTTTTTCAAGGACTCAAAAAATTAATTTTCTCTTTGATTTCGTTCATTTTCAGGCTTTTGAATTATATAATGACTCGCCACTTTGGGGAATCGAAATTGAACGAGATGGAACAAATAGGAAGTGTTACATCACTCAACAAGAATTCAGTCTACGCATATCTGATGCATTTGACTGACGAGATTCTCTATGCCCAGTTAACAGATATAATATCTAGTTGTTCTGGATAAGATTTAAAAATAAACGCAATTAGAGATTTTTATAGCTTATTGAGAAGTGGTTTGTCATCTCAAAGATATCCGTAAGAATGAGAGGACCGAACAGCCACTACTATATGTATTTGTAACTCAACTTTTATGTACACTTATAGTAAGGCTTAAATAAAAGAAAGATAGTAGGAATGATAAATCACAATATAATGACTTTTATCGGTTGCTGTTGCCACTACTGACGAAGTTTAAATGTACACTACTCAATCTCTTAGTCAAGTATTCACATGAGAATAAGAAATATTAGCTTGTTGCTTGTACTGGAGTGAAGTGAAGACTACTTGGAGAATTGCACGATTGTAGATTGTATCCACAACACTGCAGTACATTTTATTGATTATAACTCGAAACCTGTAAAACAAGTAATAACACGAAGTGCATCGAATTTAGTTTGGACCTACACCAGAACTGTGCCATCTTCTTGAAAATCTTTATATTTTAAATCAAACATTATTCTCAACCTGTTAAATCTAGTGCTTGTGAACGTAAGTTATAAAAGTATATGATTATCGGGCCTAGCCACTGGAACAAATACCATTGGTTTTTACATCATCTTTATCCTGTACTTAGAACATATTTTGAACGCACCAATAGGAAATGTGTATATAAATGCATCGCCTGCTTGTATAAAGAAGTGATAATACATCCCCCAGTTTAATAACCGTAACAACTTCCCAGTAGTTCGCTATTTTTAAAGCAAGATATAGGTTTCATAAGTGCTTGGAAAGTTGTATTACAACTCAGGATATTTATAATTACATAAAGAGTGCAGAATGAAACTTCAGTCGTGGTTGAAACAACTACACACAGGATGAAAAACCAACACCATTTGGTTATTTAAACAATTGAGAAAACGTAACTAGCATCGAACATGTATTATATATTTATTTTTGTAAATGTAGCCCATAGATACTTACGAGAAATATTACATTAAACGTCATTAACGCAACGACGAGAAAAGTAGTACAACCTCGACCCATTTTCCCGCCGCTAAAGGTCGTGGAAGCGAAACGTATAGGTTAGCTGACGGCTTAGAAAAAGTAAGTAACACAACTGTAAATTTAAACGGTGAGTATTCGTGAAGTTAAATTTGTTTCGTTTTGTTTGTTTGATATGCCTGCATACTTTCACAAACCTTGAGCACATACAACTCTTAGACAAGAGTTTTCATGCAATTTTAGATTGTAGTTTCAGGATGGTTGGAAGATCGATGGGTGAGCTAAAGCCAGGTCAAATGTCTGCAAACGAAATGCTCAAGAAACCGTAGGCCTTTCGCCCTTCTAAAAATGAAGGCAGGAACCAGAATGCATGATGCCATGGGTACAATGAAACTTGACCAATTAGCACTCGAAGGTTACCACACCAAACGTACCTCCGTCACAACTAATCAAACTGCAGAACTATAGTCTAGTGCTCACTGAGAAGGTCAGTATTATTTACTTTAAGAAAGGAATGTGTAAGCGAGTTCAGTTTCCCGGTGCTGAGAGTAAAGTAGCTCGAAATAGTAAAGGCGTATCTAGAAGCAATGGATCACTAGTGCCTTCAGGCATGAACCTAAATATATAAAAATTGTAATAAAAATAATTTAAGCAGATCATAATGAAATACTGTCACGTATCTTCTTGAAGGAGCCCTGAGAAGTCACTGGAACGATAACAGGTGACAACGAATTCCAATATTCGACTACTCGTAGACAGTAGGTGTGCCTGCAGTCTATCTAGTTTCTGGGTTTTCTCTTTAAGTTATGTATTGAAATTGAGCTGTTATAAGCATTTTATGGGATTCTCATGTATGTTTAAAATGTTATCAGACATTAGCAGGTCATCTTTAGGATGCCTATACTCTAACGACTGAAGGTCCAGTAACTTGAAGTATTCTCAACAGGTTGAATTCGAGTCCTCGAACTGAGTTCTTGGTACGCCTTTGGATACGTTACGTTGTATTCATGCCTTTTTGGAATGAGAAAGTAGACACTATGTTTCCATACTCATACTCGCAACCTTTTAGAAAGAAGTACTTTTGAGGTTTCCCTAGATTTATATCGTGTGTATCTCACATACGTTAGTTTTATTGATTAGTTGTTTAAATAATTCTCTGACTCTTCAGGAAAGCCCGAAGACGCTATAAAGCAGGTCATAATAAATGCAGTATCGTTAGACAAAAATCCCTTGATCGGCTTTGCAATCAAGTGCCAATAGGCCTTAGGACTTTATGACAGCTGAAAATTACATGAGAATTCTATTAAGGGACAGAAAAGTAGATAGTAGAATACTTTGCCGTTTGTGGTTCTTCAAGCTTTCCCTGAATGTACGACAAACCCTCTCAGTTGGAGATCGCGACGTAGACTTGGATGACATCGCAAGCAAACCACCCAAGAAACCTACTGGCTACCTTCCTCCTCTTCTATTGAAAATGTGGCTGTATGAAACTGTTCATGTCAGTGACATGGTCTAAATGTGCTATCAGAAACTACTGTATTTAATTTAACTTCGATAATTTTTTCAGTAAATGTATATTATATCATTTTACATTATATTATTATATTAAGTAAACTGAGTCATGTTGATAGGTGTAGGCTACTTGGTTGGGGTCCCCGAGACTTAAGTCACCAGTGGTTGGAGAACTTCAACGACAATGCTCAAAATCCTTTGCACTTGCGCGGGTGCATTCATTCTTCGTGTTCTCTTAAATTCTAATCTTCAGAACTCCTTATCATATCTTTCTTTCTCTTTCTAAGGTTATATCATATATTCGAAACCTAATGTTCTCCATTAGCAGTAATTCTTCTACTATCGCTACCACTATTGGATTTCAACTGACAGTTGAGTCCCTGTACTAATGCGGTACGGCAACCGAAACTAATGTACTTATGTACGAAGTTCTGCGTTGTATCTCTCTGTCTTATAGGTGCTACTGAAATCCACAATTTCTCCCTAAAATTATGGTTTACCTTACTGGCATATATGACTGATATTTCCACAGCTTTTTGGATGTCATTCCAAGCTGCTTCAGAAAGGATGTCACTTACTGCCCACCTGATTTTCTAGCTGTTGCTGAAATATATTCTTAGCTATGCTATCAATAGTTTGAATCCTAAAGCTGTCCTTGGGCTGTCTTTTCTACGCCCAGTAATCCTCAAACAAATACGCGCTAGCTCTAGATCATGGTCTGAATCTAAACAAGTGCTCTAGAGTGAGCAATAATCGTCGATAGAGCCTCTCCACCGATGGTTGAAAGCAATGTTGTCTCTTTGGGTCGATCGTTGGGTTGGCTTTGGAGGTCTCCATGTCAAAGATGCTTTTCCTTACGCTTGAATTTAGTATGGTTATGTGGACATAACTGCAGCAGGAGGTGTCTTCCCTTTTCACTGGGTCTACTAACTTAGGCGTCAGAGTCACCAGCCATTATTACTACATCAGAGCGCTTAACTTTTTGATGAAGGTTGGAAAGGTTTCTGTGAAACTCATCTTTCATCTCATCCGAGCTTCAGTCAGTGAGACCGTATTCTGAGACAACATATTGTTAACTTTTATTACTCCTATCTTTTGAACCTCCGATGTTTACATTTATGGGGTCAGGGGGCTATGTTTTCACTCTCTGTATTCATTCTATTAATGAAAATCAATTAGGTTGTCTTGTTTTTAATCTACACCAGTTGTATATCGTGTGTTATCTCGCATAGACTACCCCTGCTATTGTATGGCGGATGTTTCTCCTCTGTCAAACTACCTCTCCTGACATCGTTTTCAGTACTTGTAGCTCATCACATCACGATTCAAACACCGTAATTTGCACCACTACTCACCTGACCTTACCAGGACACTGAAGCACGTAACGAGTAACCACGCATCGCAGAACGTCTCTCGAACGAATATACGATGCCATTCCATTATCATATGGTAATAATGGACATTTGCACATCCGTTATATGGAAGTATTTAGGTCACTCATACTTTCTCTTTCATTACTGATGATGTGAGGTCATTAGCATGCAAATATGGTTAGATAAGGACTGATTTGTAAGCTGTTATTTTTGCAGTCTCATTTCTACTAGTTAAGAAGGCTGGCTGGTCAGTTATTCCAACTTTCATTTAGCCTCGGAGCGGATGAATCTCAAACCATGTGTTGAGGTTACGAGTTCCACTCGTTGATGGTGCGATGGAAAGTTGAAAACCAGATAAAAAGTTCTTTGTTGTGGACCTGTGAACTTATTTTCATTGTCATTGAAAATTCACTGTTCTGGAAGACTAGAAAATGAAAGTACGTCAAATGCAAATATTCACGAGACTAACACTAAAGCAATTGGAATGAACACCCCCGTAGGTGGTAAGCAACGTTTCATCATACCTGCTTATGCAAGCGCGACAATGATAAAAGCACAAGAGTACGGCTAAGTTATTGCAATACAGATGTCCCAGTCTGATAAACAAGTTAAGAAATAGGGCTTAATCATACCAAATGTGAACAAACTCAAATGTATGTGTGGTACCACAATAGCTTTCTCCAGCAAACGAAGATACCAGTTTAAAACAATCAGTCCATTTTATAAATTTTGATAGAACAGTCAGAAGACGTGAATAATCTGACCTTTTATTATTCTTCTTATAAAATGCCTTAATAACTATATAAGTGACCAGATTGTTCGAAATATGTGGCGCAAATACAATAAATCTTTCAGATCAATAACTTCTCACTGTTCTATCAAAAAAGATAAAAGTGCCTTGGCTTACGAAAAAAATATTGAATTTAGCAAAACGGAAAATGTAGCGATTTTTGAAATTAAGGTGTAAGATAAGTAAATGAATTTTCTACTCAAATAGTTCACTCCGTTTCGAATAGGTGCAGTTTGGTACGCGCTGGCCCAGATCCGTAATAAAAACACAATAATTCTGGGAGAAAACGGTCCTATAATTCAGTAAAAATGAAATACAGACAACTACCAAACAATATTACACCTTCTATTTTCAATTTACCGCGGTGGGTATCTGTTTCTGGAAGAATAAGTGCCTCCAGTCCGTACTGTTGAAATATCAAATCCAAATATGGCTGTAGCCATATTAAATATCAAATTTAAACAACATATGTACAGTTCAGAAGCAAACATAAAAACTTAAATATAAGTACAAGATATAGTAATACTAACAATATACAATGATAAAATCTCAAAATGGAATCAAATAGAGAACCAAAATGTCAACAGAAAGAGTCAGTCATATCATAACACAAGTATATATATATATATGGAGGGATTTTCCAAAAAACAAAACATTCAAAATAGATTCTACACCGGCCCGCAAAATCCCTCCATGCAAAAAACAAGCCTTTTCTGACACTTCTTTTATGTTTTGTACTTGATGTAACGCCAAACCACTGTACTAATGACACCCGAACATTAGACCCCTCCGTTCAAAAATAAGAAGACGGAAGACGTTGGAGAACGCTTATTGTCAGAATCAAAAATATACAATCAAACATGAGTATTTATACAATTATATAAATGTCGTTAAATATTTTGAACATGAATCAAATAGTTCAACTCATTTGCCACATCAGTGACATCCAGGTTATTACCATTGTCATCATGATTCCGTTCTGTCAGACAAGTCTGAACACACCAGTGAAACTCTTCCTTTGTTGTGTTACCCATCTCGCTACATGAAAGAACAGAATTAGTGTCACTATTCGAAACCGATAAACTCACTTGTTGTTCTTCATGTTCCGTTTCAGAGACACAAGACAAATGCACGTCAATAGCATCGTTATCATGCAACACTGTAGACTTGCTGTTACCATCAGACGCTTCCTTCTCATCATCACTTGACTGACAGTCAACTGGAGTTGGAACAGTTACAGTTACACAACCTTGTGTATCTTCAATCAACTTAGCATTCGCGGCAGGGTCCGACGACGTCAAAACACTAGAAGGCTCGTTCGATGAAGTTGATCGACTAGTCGCTTTAGATGTATAGCTCACACTTTCTGTCTCTTTACTATCGCTGTCACTACTAAGATTCTGATGACTACTATTTCCATTGCTAGTCATAGCATCCGAAAGA